CACCAGCAGCCAACCTCCGGGAGACCAAATGTGGTCGGCAACGAGCGGGCAGTTCAAAATTCACACGTCCAACACCGATATAATTTGAGGCAGACGGCAAAGCGGACTAACTCAAGACCACCAGACTTAACTACCACAAAACTCTGACGATGGAAGCGAGAAGGTTTTCGAAGTGTCAGTTCAAATATAATTTGGTCCAGAACCCGCCCCCTCTTCTTCTGCCCTACCTTTGGGAGATGATGAACGCGATAACATATCTGGATCCCGAATCTTTCGGCAATTAAAGGATATGAATATAAAGGCCTGTCGAGAATTAATCGAAAGCCAACGCATGCTATAAAAGGAAATGCAGAATGGATATCTGAAGTCATCAATAAGCCGACACCTACGCGTTCGGCCTCGGAGGACCCAAACAGAAGCACTACCGAGCATATGCCGCACATCCGGGACATCTCAGAAGCGACTGAGTGCATAAATGCCGGATTAAGTGTTGGAATTGCACACCGAACCAAAGCAACCGTGCGTAGCAGGTTAATGAAAATCAAAGACCAGCTTAATCCCAAGGAGTGATATGGGATAGTGCATCGCATTCCGTGCCGAAGCTATTCTTGTAACTACACAGGTCAGAATAAACGCAACTTCGGATCACGCATACACAAACATAAATTGACCGTGCGAAGGGGTGACGAATTATAGCAAGTTGCTGCCCACACACTTACGAAGCAGTCTATGATTTCACCTTCGCAGCCGTCAAGATAATCGCCCACATCGAATTAGACGAGCCAAAAGCTGATGAAAGCCTGGTTCACGGATGGCAACTCAATCAACCGATGCATCAATTTGTCACCGGCGTACAAGGCCCTGCGCAGTGACGCCCGGACGTCCGTCATTGATAGTTGATTGGTGCGTACCCAATACACCCCAACCCACGTTTTGTTGCTGTTTCTTAGCTCTGATGACGGACTCCTCTAAGAGTTTTAAAGGTCAGGCCAACAACCTAACCGTTCCGGTGCTCGATAAACCTTCTCTGTACCCAGATTAACTTCATTCTAGACGCCTTGTTTGACTGATACTTCGTGAATTCCTGTTTCTGTATTTAAAAGTATCCATAAAATATGTTTTCATTTATTGAGCATATAGATATGATTAGACAGTGCGAAGAAGACATCCAATAGGTGGTTTCCCTTCCGATTTTTGAGATACTTTAGCCACAGATGGTTTTCAGCCCGAACGGCTTTGACCAGGTGCTTTTTCCGTCTTCGCATTAACAGTGCATAATCGCAGGGATGTATACACGATAAAGATGAGTGCATGCATGGCGGGAAAATAAAAAGGATTACTGGCACGAGGATGGTGAAGATGACCACGGATATCTCGGCAGTGCGCCGAGG